CCGGGCTGCCGCCTCGTGGGCCGCTCTGACTGCCCCCTCCCGCAGCCGTAGCTGACGCGTATACGGGCGCAACGCCGCGGCGCTGAGCGAGGCCCTGCGCGGAGCCGTGGCTGCCCTGGCCGTAGAGATCAACCCGCGGCAGCCCCGCAGGAACAGCTTCGAGGTCTCCCTGGTGAAGGAAGACGGCAGCAGTGAGTAGGCGGGGCCGTGAGGAGGTGGTGGGGGTGCATCCCGGCGGCCCTGACCCGTGCCCGCGTCCACCCGCAGCCGTGCAGCTGTGGAGCGGCATCGGGAAGGGGCCGCCCCGGAAGCTGAAGTTCCCCGAGCCCACGGTCGTGGTGGAGGCTCTGCGGAGCAGCCTGGCCTAGAGGCGGCGGGCACGGAGCGCGAGCGGCACGAACAACGGCACGCCGGGAGCGGCCTCACGGAGCGAGCGCCCATGAAGAGGCGGCACCAAGGGGGGGCATCGCCCCCAGTATCGCCTCCGACGCTGCAGCTCCTCCGCGGAAACGCCGTAGCCCGGCTGCCCGCAGCCGTTACCCAGCACCATTTCCCCAATAAAGCTCTGCGGCTCCGTCATACAGCTCTAGTGCTTTATTTCAGCGACACCCGACACACGATGCTGCAATCTTTTGGCCTGGGGGAGGCTGGCGTTAGCAGCTCCCCTAACCGAGGACGTCCACCTCCCCATCCGACTCCGACGAGGGGCTGGGACAGACGCACACGGTGCCGGGGGGCAGGCACGGCTGTGCCGTCCCCACGTCCACCTCCTCCTCCAGGTCGTCCTCCACCAGCCCACCAGCAGCCGGTGGCAGCCACGGCTCCGTTCCCGTCCGGGTCTCCACGGCGACGGGCTCCAGAGAGAACTGCCCATCCTGCACCACCTCCCAGCCGCGTCGGCCTTCCATCCTCCTCAGTTTCAGCCGCCCCACGGGGGGGACCGGACCCGCGGTCTCTGGAGGGAGCGGCCGTTCTCGGGGTGCGTCCGCTAGGGGCACGCCGCAGGACCCGGGGCCGCGCAGACAGCTGCGGTCGAGCTGCCGGCGGGGCCCGGGCCGCACCAGCCCGTCCTCCCGAAGCTGCAGCGACTCGAGCACGGCCACGCGGAGCCGGCGGGCGGCCGCCAGCACGTCCCGCACCTCCTCCCGGGAGGCCTCCAGCTCGGCCGTGTACAGGAAGCGCACCACTTTGCGCAGCGTCGCGATCTTCAGCCCTCCGAGCTCCAGCACCACGCGGCGCCCCGCGCGGGGCAGCTGGCGGGCCAGGCGCTCCATGAAGAACGGGCTCCACACCGCCAGCACGCAGCAGTGCGCGGCCACCACCTCCCCTGCAAGGAACGCGCGGCTGCGGCCGGCCCGGCCTTCCTCGGGGACGGCGAGGAGGGAGTCCCTGGGGCGGCCCTCCAGCCACCGAGGGGGCCGCCCGCTCACCTTCGGCCCGCAGGAGCACGTCGCAGAAGACGTCCGCCCGCTGCTGCTGCTGGTGCAGGCGCAGGAAGGCGGCGCGGAGCAAGCGGGAGCTGCGGTACTGCAGCCTGGGGACGGCCGGCGGGCAGCCCGACGGCATCCCTGCGGGGACGGCGCCGCACCTCCCGCTGCCCTCGGCCGGCAGGGGGCGCCCGCCGCGCTGATTCTGAGGCGAAGCCGCGCCGCCCGCGGCCTTCTCCCAACCGGGCCCCGGGTGTCGGGACGGCCGCTGCGCCGCCTACCTGCCCGTGCGGGTGCTGGAGGTCGCCGCCGGGGTCCGGCGTCGCGGAGAGAGGGAACGGGGCGCGGGGCCTCGGGCGCGGAGGCGCCGGGCCTGGCCTAGCGCGCCCGCACGCGGACGGCGAGGGCGACAGCTCGCGCATGCGCTTCGGCCCTGCCGCACGTGCGCGCCTCGCGCCATGACGCCTCGCTCCTCCGTGTTCCGCCCAGCAACGTCTCCGCCATTGGCTCAACTCCCGACCAATCGCAGCGCGGCGAGAACTTCGGCGGGAAGGTCGCGCGGGTGGTGCCGGTGGCCGCTGAGGGTGAGTGGGGAAAATGGCGGCGGGGCCGGGCCGTGGTGGGCTGTGTTCCGAGGGAGCTGGGGCTGAGAGGACGGGCTGTGGAGATTCGTGGGGGTGAAGACTGGACGCAGGGAAAGTGCCTGTGACTGCACCATCTTAAAGCTACCGCTGCGATGTGGCACCTTGTACCGCTCCCACGCTGGTGTTGGTTAGCTGAGTTAGCCTGTCTTGCCTCCCCAGGAGGAGCGGGTTTGGGTACACGAGCAACAGGTCAGCGAGCAGGATGTGTGCTGGCTGCAAAGAAGCTGCCGCTGTGGTGGTGACACTTCAGTCCATCGACTCAGGGCCTTGCTTTGGGTTGTGTGTGAGAAACAGCACTGGCTCTGCCTGCTGACGCCTCCAGGGGAGGCCGACTTACAGATAAACACTGGGCTGAAAGGGGAGGATTGAGGATGGGTGTTTTGGAAAGTGGCCTTCGTGCAAACGATGCTGTCTGCTTAGAGAATTGGAAATGCATTTTGCTGTTTTATAAAGCATCCATTGTAAAAATGTCTGCGTCAATCACTCCATGCACACACGCTACCAAGAGCTATAATGATCCTAGCCCATAGCCTGGAGATACTGCCTGTCCTCACAAATAACCAAAGTGGGTGGAAGTTTCAAGGGCTACAGAAGAACAAGAATCAAAACGATGCTATAGATTTTAAATCTACAAAGCTTTCTGCAACTAGTTAAACGTGGTATCATCCCCTGTGGCTTTACAGATGGGTTTTCCTGTGTTTCGACATGTAAGGGTGCAGAACTGGAACAAACCACAAAAGAAAGTAATTATGGGTCTAAGCCAGAGGCTCTGAGGTTGGTGGCAGTCTTTCCACTGACCTCGGGTGGCTTTGTGTCCAGCTGTACATACCAAGGGAAACAGTAAAACACGTAATTTCATATCAGAGTGCTATCATATGCTCCTAATAATAGAAAAAAGAGAACTGTACTCCTCTGCCCACTGCAATCTTTTGGAATTATAGTAATTGAAGCTGTAACTTGAAAAGCTTGAATCCACTGGGGACAGATGGATACGGTTATTGATTTAGGGACCTATATGAATTTCAGAATATGCTCTTAACCTTTCCTGCTGCTTTGTGATGCTTTATACTGTGCCTGGCCCATGCTAGAGCTGTGGCAGTGAGAAAGAGACTCCTCAGCAGGCAAGCCTAAGGTGTAAGCAGAAGTCGTGACTGGGAGCCTGCAAGTGGGAGGACGTCAGCTGCGGAAAGTGCTTTTCAGCTGGCTGAGCCGACCAGAGCACAGAAGTCAAAGGAAAGCCATGGAGCCAGGACAAAGCTAAATTAAAAAATTCCAAGACGCTGATATCAGAGGACTTCCTCTTGTGACCAGGCAGCTCATCAGCAGGTGAGGCAAAATCCCAGTTACAGGAGAAGGCTGTATCTTCACTGCATGCTTCTTGCTGACTCAGAGGCAGGACTTGATATCGCCTGTCTCCTTTGCTGGAGGAACAAGCTGGTGGTGCTGTGGTGCTTGCTCACCTGGGGCGGTGGCCAAGGCAAAGCTGGGCTCTTCCCTCTCTGTCACTCAGTGCGGAGCACTCTTCCCTCTCCTGAGGCCATCCCAGGGGCAGGAGTGATAAAAGGGCAAGTGTTCTGGATCTGTCCCAGTCCTGGGACACACTCAAAGCTGAAAGGTAAGAAGGCATCCTGTTGGGCTGGCAGACAGCTTTGAAGCTCTGTGGGCTCATGAGCTGACGAGGATCAGGCTGCAGGTGATGCAGGATGGACAAAGGGGCATTCACGGGCATTAGTTACAGTGTGCAAAACAGCTCCTGTGCGTCCTACTGGTGCAGGACAGGGAAGAGGAAAGCAAAGCGTTAAAGGGCAAAGTCCACTCTTACTGTGTGATCTGTTCCAGCCCACAGAAAGTGCTTTTCATGCAGAGCGTGGCACAAACAGCCCTCTGCCTCTCGGGCCCGCTGTGAGCGATAGGAACCCAATGTTTTGAACAGGCAGCCCCGTTCAGACCACAGCGATCTCACAAACTGCTGTGTGTCTTGTGACAGCGGCTGAGACAGGGAGCCCAGCAGTAGCTCTGGGAAAGAGTGGAAATCACATTTCCTGGAAACAAAGGAGAGTACGTGAGAGGTCTGGGTGGTGGAAAAGCTGATGCAGGCTCCTTTAGTCGCACTCGTTGTTCCCTAACTGTGTGTCTCAGAAGGGTTCTCTGTCCTCATAGACCCACAGAGCTAGCAACGCAAAGCCCTGTACCTGGCCCAGGTGGCAGGCCCTTTGCTTTCAGGCATTTTTAGTGTTTTGCAGGGGCAACACTGATCCCTGTCATGCAGAAGTCGTCTCCTCAGCCCCAGCAGCCCCTGGTGCTGCCTCCCCCCCTCCCCTCCTCCTACCATGGCCTTGTCTGCCCTTAAAAAAAGTTACTGATATAGGATCTGGTGATACCAGCAAACACTCCCACTGTAGATAGAGTCTGCACACAAAAGAGGCATTTTATTAGCGTAACTCTTACTCGTACTCAAAGCCAAATAGCCTGCACTGGATAAAAACACCAACACCCTTTTGTCCCATTGACAGGATCCTCTCTTTATATACCAGTATCTACATTCACTGCTAGAATTTGCTGGCTACATCTTGCCAGCAAACTGTGTGAGCATGGTTCTCTCCTTTAGGTGCTCAGAAATTGCTGGCTGAGGCTGTATATATGCAGAAGTGACCCTCACTACTAGTAGCACTCACTCCATCTACACCCAAAGCCAGACTGGGATGAGGTCCAGGCGTGCACCTGCACCTTCCTTCCTTCTCAAGCCTTACTCTCTGTGGATAGAGACCTGCAGAAACAGGATCCTAAAAAGCATGGTGTTGTGCCCCAGCCTGGCCTTTGCTTTGCCTTCGCCAGTGCTTGGCCCACCTGGCTGTGGATGGCTGTGCACAGACCTGGAAGGGCTCAGTGAATCGGTCTGGCTGGGTTCATCTCCCTGTAGGTCTCACTCTGGAAGGAAGGCGAGGTCAGTCTGCCTGACACAGTCTAAGTGCAAGTTACTTATCCTGGTTTGCTCCACAGTTTATAGGAAGAGAGACCCTGCCACTGAGCTAGTCATATCCTTTCCCGAGTCTCCCAATCAGCAGATTCTGAGCTGATTTCTTACAGAGAAGGGAAATTCCTATCTTGGGTCTTACTCAGAGCTGCAGTCATTTTCCATTAACATCCCCTTTTGCTTCTGTTACTAAATTGCAGCGTTGATCTGTCTCATTTCTCCATTTGTAGGAGTTATCTTGCACGTTGCTTGCATCTACCATGGAAGGGAAGGCTTAAGAGGTGAACGCTGGTACCCAAGCCTAGGAAAAGCACCAAAGGTGAAGAGAGGAACATACTACTTAGTGCAGACATCTGACAGATGGGACGTTTCACCCCCCTGGTGCCACACTTCCCTTCCTGCAGGGGGAGGACAACAACCTGTTGGGATTCCCACAGGAAAGGGGCTGCGGAAGCGCCTTGTTATCCTGATGTAGAACAATGCAGACCATCTCTGAACTGCCCACGCTGGGCCTGGAGACGGCAGCTCCCTCTTCCTCCTGCCCTGTGCTGCTGAGGAGCATTCCTCTGTCTGATAAACAAGTTGTCTTGCTCTGTTCCGGTGGTAACTGCCTTGTTTGGGCGTTTCGTCTGGAGAAGGCATCAACAGCACTGTAGGATGAAAGGGGATGCATAAGATGTTATTACACCCAATTACTGTAAAAGGGCAAATTTTCACATGTTAGTAACCCATCTTTTCTTCCCAGGAAGCAGCAGGATGGACTCATCCGCCACAATACTAATCTGCTGCGGGGTGAGCCCGAGCCTAGGGATCAGGGTACAATCTTCCTTCAGAAGTGAACACACATTACTGGGTGTCCTGGCTGCTGCCGGGCACCGCTGAATGAGGAGCTGGAGCTGACAGCGTGCTATTAGACCCTGTCCTGCTCAGCCCTGCAGCCCTTGGGACAGGATGTGCTCACCCGGCTTCAAAGCGACACAACTCCGGCTCCAATTCAGAGCTGGCATAGGCATGTTCACAGCAGCGCATTTCATCTTTGAAGAAACTCACTAAAGACTTTAAAGGCTGTAAAATCTCTGGGCTGATAGGAATACAGGACTGGAATACAGGAACATATCAGGTACGCCAGAAGGCTGCCCCAGGCCGTGGTACTGGTGACCACCTACCTGCTGTCCGTGCGATAGCAGCCACCCGGTCAGTGCTGAGGTGTGCTGCCTGGCTCCCCTGCTCCTACAGAGGGGCAAAGGCTTAAACCACAGGGCTAAGGGGCCCCACCCGAGCTGAGCAAAGGTGTCTGCGCTGGGGGCAGACACTCTTGCAGCCAGCGAACAGAATGATCTGTTTTACTGATCCAGCGGCAGGGAGGAGTCTGGGGGTCTGCCGCCCCATAATCTCACTAAACGCGTCCCTCTCACTCGTTTAATCCCATTGCTCTTCATTATGCTTTTTTGCTCCGAGCAAACCCCGCCCCCCGCCGGGGGATTACCTTCCCCAAACATGCAGGCGGCTATCGGCTCCCCCACCTCTCCTTGCCCAACCGCGCCGTGCATATTTACCCCTGAAATCACCTGTCCCCACCCAAACCATTCGGCAATCCTTTTCCTCTTGTCATTATCTCGCTTAGCAGTTTGGCAATCGGGAGCGGGCAGATCTTCCCCAGCGCCCCGGTCCCGCCGGTCTCGGACCAGAGGAGAGGCAGAGAACCCCCAACCTCCACCCCGGCTTCTCGCAGGTGAGCGGCGTTTCCTCCCGTAGCGAGGACGGGCGGCTCCCCGGCACGGCGGGGGCAGAGTCCCTGCAGCCGCGACTCATCCGGGACGGGAGCTCAGGCCGGGGGAACGCGGCCCCGCGGCCGCCGGAAGCTTTACCGGGAGGATCGGCCTCCGGAAGCCTTCCCGGGCGGCGTGCTCACGGGGCTGTGCCGCGGACCCCCACCCCGAGCCGCTCCCTCCGTGCCGCCCCGTCCCGCCCCCCCGCACAGCCGCCATTACCGCGCCGGGCGCCGCTCCGCGCTACCGCCATTGGCCGCGGCGCTCCGACGCCGGGGGCGGTACCCGGAGCCCGGCCCGCCCCCGCCCCGCCGGACCAACTTCCATTTTAGGTGCGGGAGCGGTGCGGGGCGCACGGAGCGGCGGTGGCGAAGCCCGGCCCGACCCTCTGCGGCCCCGCTCGCGCTGCGTTCTCTCGACCCGGACGGCCGCTGCTCCGGGCCGCCCCTTGGCGGGGCTCCTTGCGTCTCGAGCCCTTCGCCCCGCCGCTCCTCTCCCGCCGGAGCGGGCCGGGCGGCCGCGGGGCGGGACCGCCCCCTGTCCCCGAGGAGCCCGGCCACGGTGAGTCCCGCTCGCGGCGTCCCGTCGTTTTCCGAGGGAGGGGGGCCGAGGTCGGGCCCGGCCGTGCCTCGCGGGGCGGGGGCCGGGGCCGCGCCGTCGGTGTCCGGGAGCGCCCCGGGGTGCGCGGCGGGGGGAGGACGAAGGAGGTAGTCGCGGCGCGGCCCCGTGCCGCTGCCCCGCGCCCCGCCGGGGGCCGGGCCGAGCCGCGCGTGTCGCCGCTCCCGGGGCTGCACAACAAAGGGCGCCGGCGTGCCAGCGGCGCGGGGAGCTGGCCCGACAGGCGCGGCGGGTTGGCGGCCGATGCAAACGAGATCCGCGGCCCTCGCCCTGCCTTTGTGCGGGAGGAGGGCGGGCTGGGGCAGGGCGCGGGGCCCGGGCCGCCCCCCCGCGTGCTGGCAGCGGAGTCTTGCCGTGTCCTTCTCCTCGTCTGCGCCTTTGTTCTAGCGGGAGGGGACTCCGGTGGCTGGGGAGGGTCAGGGCGCGGGGCGGGTGCGGCGGGTCCCGTCTTCCAGGCGGCTCCGTTCGGCAGCGCGCCTCTGCCCTCCCGACGGTGAAAAGCGACGTGCGGCGGAGCCGCGGGCTGACAAGTGGCACCGAGCCGCTGCCGAACGGGGACGGCCTTCCTGCAGCCCGGTCCGGGCCCTGCGGGCAGCCCCGCGGTTCCTGTCAGCTGGCCGTCTCGTGCCTTTGTGCGAGCGGCCGCCGACCTTCCGCGGTGCCGCTCCTCGGAGTGCTGCCGAGCGGAGCCTGAACTTGGGGTGACTGCACTCAAGTCCGGGTGTCTGTCCGTGGGAGGACTGCCAGCGGCTCCGATGTGCCCCTGAGCCTCGAGTGAGGGAGTGGGGGCGGCTGAGCTTCCTCTGATTGTTGGGGCGGGGTGGGTCTCCGGGTGGTGACTCCCTCTCTGGGAAAGGACCCGCTGCCCGGCTGGGCTGTGTGGTGGGTGCTATGGGGACACGCCTGTCCCTGCCCTGCTGGGTGATCCCCTGCTGGGTCTGTTGTGCCTTGTGGAGAGCTCAGCTGCTGGGCGCTGAGGGGGAGCACCTGGTGCGTGGAGCTGAGTACAGCTGCTGGTGGTTCCTTTTGTGTTCTCTCTCACCGTGGAACTGGGAGGAAGGCTCTCCTCAGCTTGGTGTGGGGAAGGAGCTGAAACTTGGCACTGACATGGTCTAGGATTGCAGGGAGCCAGGGACCGCAGCTCGTGTGCTGGTCTCCTTCGCCCATGCCTTGTCCTGGATGTGGTAATACAGGATGAGGGCTGGTCTGTGTTGGCTGTGGGCCTTGCTGTTGTTCTGCTCCTGTTCTTGGTACCTGCAGCACACTGCTGTCTGACAGTACAGGGCTTGCTGTTGGCAGCAGGGAAGGACAGCACCCACACTTCCCAGAGGCAGGCTTTCTGACTTGTCAGGGTTTACTCACACACTTTAATAGGAAAAAAAAAAAAAAAGAGGGGGGCAGCTGTTTGGTTTTTTTTAAGTTGTTCTTAAGCTGAATTTGACTGAACCTGTGTTGTGTGCAGACAACTGTCTTGTGGTATGTAGCCTTTGCTGGGATCGTGTGTTTTGCCTTCCAGAAAGGGTGGGAGGCTGGAGATGCTCAGTGCTGTGTGGCTTCAGGTTTGCCTTGGCCACAGCAGGGTCAGTACCTCTCATCCAACAAGGCCACCCTGCATCACTGCATTCAAGAGTCTTCATGGTCATCTTTTCCCTAGGGTGGATTGGATTGCCTCTCACTGTTTCTGCTCTGGAGATTAGGGCTTGGTCCCAGGTTGTGTTTAGGGCTCCCAGAAGGATTGGCTTGGACCACACCTGGAAGGTTGTTGGGTTCTCAGTCTGCAACTTAAGAGGACAGTGCTATTTGAGCATTCCGCTTTCTCTCCCCAACTGCCCTGCAATGATTATGCTGCCTGCCTGTCCTTTGCAGGCTGTGATGATAGCTTCAAGGGATGCACAGAGCTCCCTCATCTCCCTACGGACACAGGTCTCTGCACTGTGCTGTTCTCACTGCCTCAGCTCTGTTTCTGACAAGGAGCAGAACCGCAGAATTGATTTGGGTCCATAAAAAGCAACAGGTGTTGCCTGGTTGTGGTGACAAAATCTAAACCTGTTGAGTGATTCAGGCAGCCTCAGAGTTCTGCGTGTGACACAGGGCTTGGCTGGTGGAGGAAGTTGTCCTCTGGCACGGCATGCAGGAATGTGCCTCAGTGTGAGGCTGCTGGGAAGGGGCTGGATCTGCAGGCTGCAGAACAAAGTGCTGGAGTTCCCCGAGGTGACTTCAGCCTTCTGTTGGCTCCCCCTCTTGTGCAGGGGGCTGCTGGGGGTGGGAAGAACGCAGCACTCTTTCTTCAGGCTTGGCCCGTTCCTGTCCTGGGGGCTCGTGGCAGCTGGTTGATGGAGTGTTGGATCATGAGTGTGTCTGACTCCTGTGTGTCTCATGTTTACTGCTGTGCTGCCCACCTTCCAGTCAGGAGAGCTGCTGTGTCCCACTGCCTTCCTTGTCCAGTAACTGTGGTATGTAGGAATGGACCAATGTGGGGTGACTGCTGTATTCATGCTTCTGTGTCACCTGGGTGTGGTGAGGTCCTCCTGCACCGAAGTGTGCAGTATATCTTCCTGCTTTATTTCTTTACAGAGGAAGCAGTTTTCCCAGTGTGTGGTACTGCTTCCTCATTGTGGCCCATATCTAAACCACCCGGCACGGAGGGGTGAGATGGGTGGTGGGTGCGGAGGGAAGTTGGTGACTAAGCACCACAAGATGCCAGGTGTGGTGCTGGGATGCACAGCCCTTACCAGAGTGCCTGTCTTTTCCCTCTGCCTTCCTGTTAAGGTAGAGGCTGGTGGTGCAATGCCTGATGTGCTTCTGGTGCATGTGGATGTTGGGGCTCAGGGAGGTGGTAGCAAGCTGGCAGCAGGTTCCATGCTTCCTTTCCCTTCTGAGAGACCAGCCACCCTCCGGGAGTTGGTGACAGAGGGCTGACACCTGGATGGTTTGTCCTCCTGCCTCTACCTTGTGTGCTGCGGCTCCATGCTGACCTCATGCCACAGCACTCTGGCCTCTATCCACTGCAGAAATGTTTGTGGCTGTGTGGGCTGGGGGATCTGATCTGTGCTGAACACTTCTTTCTTCTGTACATGTGATTCTAAACAGTTGGTTGCTCAGATGCTTGTGCTGATGAGAGCGGGATTTCTTCTGCTTGCGTGGCTTAAACAGGTTGTGAAACCACAGCCCGGCCTGTTGGTGAGGCAGAAGGAGGGGGTGGCTCTGTGGTTGTGGGGTGCTGGAGTGGTGTCAGGAGGCATGTGGGTGCCCTAGCTCAGCAATGCAGGCTGGAGGTTTCTTTCTAAACTCGGCCAAGGAAGTTAGGGGCTGAAGAGAGCTGAGCAAGCAGGATGGAAGAGTGAGCCCTTGGACTGGTTCTCATGCAGCCTGGCTGAGTGCTGCTGTGGATCTGGGTGCTCTTCTAGGTTGTAGAGCCCCTCAGGATGGGTTGGTGGCAGCAGCAGCTTGCTGGGCTCCTGTGCAAGGGCAGGAGCTGCTGTCATGTCTCCATTCTGGCCCTGATGGCTCCTGTTCCTATGGGTGTGGGCCCCAATTGCAGTGAACGCTGCACAAAGTTCACTGCCTTCCTGCTACTGGCCTGGCCCTGGTGTGGGCAGCCTGGAAGGTATGGACCTCACCTGTGTCAGCTTCTGAGCAAGGGCTGGAGAGCAGCTGGGGGATGAGCTGCTCTCATGCCGCTTACGCAAGTGCAGAATTACTGGTAGAGACCAATTATTTGGGGTGAGGCAGGTAGGATCTCTCCCAGGAGCACAGTAGTCTCAGAGGAAATGAATATGGAGAACTGATTCCACCCAGGCCAGGAGGAGGAAGGTGTCTCTCTGTCCTCAGATGATGAATGTTCCTCTCACCCCCTTTTATACGGTGCCTGGGCCTCAAATTCGCTCTTGTATCTGGGCTGCCTCCTCAGCAATGCTCCCAGCGCTGGCCTGGCAAGCCAGGGAAGTGGTGCTGGCTCTCACCGGGCAGCGCGTGGGTAGCCGCGCCGGGTGGGAGGGAGCATGGTGAACTGCAAAGACGAGTTTTTCCGACCTAGGAGGGTGGGTCACCATGTTTGCGTGTTCCTGGCAGGCCCCTTGCCCAGTGGAGTAACGCATTCTTCCAAGCATGTTGCTGCATGTGCAGCTGTTTGCTGTGCCTGTCTCTGGGCGGGCTGAGTTGCTTCAAGGTGTGTGTGGGGAGTGTTGGGGGGGAGATGGCCTTGCCTGATGCTCACAGGAGCTGCTAGGGGAGCAGGGGACGGCCTGGATGTGCTGCAGAGCCTCTCTTACAGCCTTGGCAAGCAGGTGTCCTGCAGGGTTATGGTGCTGTTGCCTCCTCAGCTCTGCAAATACCGAGGCCATCTTCAGAGCCTTCTGGGCACGGTTGTGTCCCCATGGGAGAATCCTTGAGGCTGGGATGTGGCACCTGCTGCCTTTTGCTTGTGAGATGCTTGCTGCCCCAGGCAGGAGCATGTAGCCGCTATGTTTGATAGGTCCTCACATGTGGTCCCTGGAGGTAGGATGCGTCCTTCGGGGAGTGGCCCGATTATGCTATGCTGGCTGTTGGGATGGCTGTGCCCAAGCCTTGTCCCAGCCTGTGTGATATGTCAGGGTAGTGGGGAGCAGCCCTTGGCAGGACGTGGTGTTTAGAAGCTTACGGGAAAGGGAAGCCATGATGTCATTTCCCGTCTGACCAGGAAACGCAGGTTTCCTTCCCCTTGGACGGCGCAGGAGCCTGGGAAGCTGCCTCTCGGCAAGCGGGCTAAGGGAATCTGCAGCCAAATGTAGTGCTGGGGAGCAGCTTGAGCTGCGGGCTGGGGTAGGATGCTTCCCCCATGGTTTTCCTTCACCCATTCATTACTCCTCTTGGCAGAGTCCTCTAAATTCACTTGGAGTTGATGCATACGTGCAATTAGGGAGTGGGGGCATCTGATGAGGTCATGCTGAATGGAGCTGGGCTTT